TCCCTATCTCTATCTTCTTCGATTCTGATTTTATGAATTCTTTTTGCTCTCTTATGTTTTCCTTGCGTACGCATAATTTTGTTATTGAACTTTCATCACTTATATACAAAGTTGCTGGGTTTCACAATTGCTATCCATGATTACTTATTTTTAATTTAAGAAAAGCTTTTTTTTTATATTTGTTCAGTTTCAGTTCAGTAATGGATTTTAAAAATTTCTTTTCCTTTTAAATTTTTTCAATTTGCCTCAACGCCTAAAATTTCGCTAGAGTAAGTGTGAAAGCCTATTAACCGTTACAATTCAATCTGATGCGGCTGGTGCGAGGAAAATATAAAACAAACACGCAAACATCATTTGAGGAAGAAAGAGAACATTATATATGAAATAAAACATAGTAAGAATTTTTACGTCAATCTCTCACAAAACAATGAAAAACAAACGTGGCCGCAGAGCTATGCTTACGGATCCTATACCTCTTCGCGTAATTGTTCTATTGCAAGGAGGGAAAGCAATTTTATATATGTATGTATGTAGCCAAAGATATTTTATTGCAAATTCATTGAACGTAGATTCATAAAAAAGCTTGTGAAATTAATTTACATTAATTTACACCTAAAGGTAGGCAAGCAAAGCCAACGTTAAATTAATACTCTATGTTAATTGCAAAGCCGTAGGCAAAACTTCCCAATTTTATATTGTTTTTTTTATTTTGCCCAAATGTGCATTTTGCAATTTGCAAATTTGCATTATAAATGCCGACGGCAATTTGCATTTTTCATTTTGCAATGCCGACGGCAATTTGCATTTTGCAATGAATTTTAACAGATTTCGTGAGTTACAAAGCTCTTTTAACAGATTTCGTGAGTTACAAAGCTCTTTATCCACGAGTAGATACGTATTTACATTCAGTGCCACCGGCATCCTCATCAAACTTCGATTAATTTCATGACATTAGTCGAGACCTTTGCTTTATGTTATGTCTTATAAAATATTTTAAGTAATGCAACAATGGAATGGAACAATATCGAAAATAACAACCTTTTCTTTAACATATGCTAAAATGTATTGCGTAAGAATATTATTTTTAGTCTGAACAAGCACCAGCACACACAAGTGCTGCCATGTTTTTGTAATTTTGCAATTTCTATAGTAAAATCTTAATAGCATGAATTATACCACACACGCACGCATACGTACACTACCATATGATAAAAGAGTATTAAAAAATTTCGGAAATTATGATTTCAAATATCGTAGATCAAATATTTTATTAGTTTTTAGTAATGGGTAATTTTCGCTCACTTATACTTACGATGTTATCCTTTTCGGCTAACAAAAGAAACATTTTAATTTTTTATGTTGTAACATGTTTTTTTTTTACTTTATTTATTTATTTATGTTTTTCTTCTTTTGATCAGCGCTGTGAATTAAATTTTAATGACATTAACACTATTTTTCGAGAAAACCATTTAGGGAACACAAAACAAGGCTTTATGCAGTAGATAAAATAATAACATTATATTAACATGTACCAAAGTTATATCCTCAAGTTTTAGATCAATATTTATTATAGATTATAAATTAAAATTTTTCGTCTATTGTGAGCGAATCGCGTTTGGCCATCAGCCAATAACATATATGAAAAGTGTGAATTTTCTATTTCGAATTCTGCAAGAACAAGAGTGTAAGGAAAAGATAACAATAGAACGGACTAAATCGATCTCGAATTTTACGCTGATCAAAAATATATATGCCTAAGCTTACTTATTTCTTAGTATATATCCTATATAATAGTTTAATTAATAATTTGTTTTACGTTATATCTCTTTTGGTATATTACAACGCCTTAGTTAATGAAAACTTTTCATTTCGTTACAATACAAATTAGCGGTGATTATCAAACAATCGGATCGAAAGGGGATATAGCTTTGGTTACATTAATCCTTCAATTTTGTGTGTTCGTGCGTGTGTGTATTTTTTATTATTATTATTATTGTTATTGCAAATATAATTCATACGATTAGGCCATTCTTGCTTCCAGAATTTAGTTAATATAGGAATTTATTTTGGATCTATAAACAGAACAGATTACTGATTGCTGTAAAACATCTGGCCATTCTCACACGAATTACTGCTTGATAGTTCACAATAGTCTACATGAACTTCGTAAAGCGTTTGTTCGGTCGGCTCGCCTAAAAAATTATTTCGATAAATTAAAACTTAAAAAGTGTTAATTAATTGTTAAATCAATTAATAAAAAGTATTTAATACGTTTCACGGAATAACGCACAATGGATTGAGTATAAAAGCTCTAAAGCAAATCCTTTAATTTTATGAGAAAAATTCTAGTGAAAAATATATAAAAATTTCTTTGGCTTTCATAGTTTTTTTAATGTATGTTTTCTCAGCGGGATGTTCTGGTGTAGAAAAAAATGCACTAGTCTAGCCCAAAAACAACAAGTGTGAAAAGGATAAATATATGTATGATGTATAAAAATATATTGGAAAAATAATATATGAAGGAAACATAGTGAACGTATGTAGTTAAAAAAATGTAACAATGTAAGAAGTACACAAAAAAAAAAAAAACATAAAAATTAACAAAAGACAAAAAAAGAATAAGAAAAAAAAAAGGATCAATCAAATAATTAATAAATTAATGACAGCAACAAATAAAAAAAATATATTAATGGAATGAAGGGCATAAAGCAATTGTTTGCTTAAAAAAAAAAAGAAGTGTTTTAAGTGTGAAGGGCTATATTACACACCTTTGTCCACATCTTTAGCACTTTATTACTTTTCTGCTTTTTGTGGTTTTCCCTTTGTAGTTTTTTTTATATTACTATTTACTATAAAAAAACGCAGCTCGTGTATGTGTGTATTATTATTATTTTTTTTTTTTTTCGCATTATACTGCTTTGGCATAATTTCGCAAGAAAATATGTAGAAAAGGAACTAAGAACACGTCCTTTTTCCTCTCCTTTATTACACCAGGCTGTGTATACATATATGGATGTACTGTTACTCTTAACTTTTTTTTTTTTTATACAGATTTGTGTAATAGATATACTTCCGATTATGTGAATAGAGAATTAAAGAAATAAGAACAAATTTATGTTTTCGATTTGTTCATTTCTCTTATTTATTGAAGAAATGTTAGCGAACAGAATAAAACAGATATAGGCAGACAAATGAATTAAGAAACAAAGAAGTGTTGTACGGAAGCCAGGCAAACAAAAAATGAAATGAAAAGTTTTAATATTTTAGTCTCTGAAGAAATTCAGTTGCGTCGCTAGTAATATTCTTTATTTTCCATTTATTTTTCTTATTTAATCATATAGTTGCGGTTATTAAACTTAGCATGTTCGTCTTATTGTTGTTGTTGTTGCCGTGATATGTGTTGACTCTAGATTTTCCTCACTATTGTTATTGTTATGTTTTACCTCTTCGATCCACACAATAAATGCGAAAAGAAAATGTTTCATTTATATTTTTATTCAATTATTTTTACTTTTTAAGTGTATTTGAGGAAGAAGCAGCAAATATTTATTTTGTAGTCACAATTTTTATGTAAGGTTAAAAGAAGGAAGGTTTTTAGTGTTGTGTCTTTAAAAAAAATTAATTCAGCTTATAAGCACAGCGTGCCTAATCTGAATTGGATCTTTGCTAATTTTAATGAATCAATTAAAAATTAAGATGATAAGGGAATGTTGAATAATCTAATGTACTTGTGTAATGTTTAGACTTGAGCACTTTGCTAATCTTGAAAATTTTTCTTTTAGTGTGAAATTTATTTAATTATTTTCTCAACAAAATTTTCTTATCAAAATTCTAACTTGCTAAGAGTTTTCAAAGTTTTCCAATTCAAAAAGCAATTTGCATAAATCATTCTCTGCTTGTGTGTAATGCGGCAACTCTGACACCGGGCTTTTGTTGTTGTTGTTGTTTTTTTTTGTTTTTTTTTTGTATATTTCCCATATTCCTCTTATGATTAGAATAGTGAATATATACATCATACGAAAGTTATTCACTTACATTGGCAGAGAGCAACTCTGTTAACACCAAATTGATTGATTATACAAACAGCCGTTAGCTAAAATGAGATCACTCTATGTTACCGACAACAAATACTGCACGCATACATAGAGTATATGTCAATAATATTGAAAGAAAAGAAATGCAAAAAAGCAGAAAAAAAAACGATGAAAATGTACGGAAGAGACGGGACTAGAAGATGAAAAGGAGATGGAAAAGTGTTGAAGATGTGCGAGAAAAATGTTGTAATGGAAATTTATGCATACTTATATTTTCAGAAATATAAATTGAAAATTTTTATAAACGAAAAATTGCTCATAAAAACTCATCAAGTGTGGTTTGAAGTGATAAAGTTCAACAGCTTTTTAAATATCAAATGATCGAAATAATTTCCCTTTCGGGATGGAGATGATTGAAAGTAAAGTGCTTTTAGGTGCATATTGTGTGTAAAGCAAAAGAAATAGAATGTAATTAACAGGCTAAACCAACCAACCACAGAGTGGAAGTACGTACTAAATGAGAATTTTGTTTTATGGATTTTTTGCTTCCTTTACTCCATACACACACAAGCACATACAAACATACACACACACACAGCACATGCATACATACGTATATATATATATTTATATATGTATATATATATATATATATATGTATATATGTATGTATATATATACACGCACACACACAAATCACTCGGAGTCAGCCATCAGCATACAATCAATCAGTCAGTCAGTCACAAAAGGCAATAAAATATAATCAAAAGAAAGAATTCTGAATAATGAAAAAAGCCACAAGTAGAGAGTTTTTATTTAATGTTAAGTTTTAAGTGTTCAAAAAAAAAAAAACAAAATAAATAATAATAATAATAATCATAATAAATAAATGAATAAATAAATAAAATAAAATAATATAAAATATTTGTATATCGATCAAAGAGAAAAGTAATTTGAAAAATTTGCACAAATAAAATCGATAAGCATAAAAGTATTAAAGCAAAAAAAGATATAAAAAGCAAAAACAAAGCATTTAAAAAAGACGTGCCAGTGTATATATCGTGTGTGACGGCAACAACAATAATAACGGCAACAACATCAACAACATCATCTTCATCATTATCATCAACAACAACAACAACAACGGCGATTTCGAGTATAGCAGCCAAAGCAATATCAACGTCGAGGACAAAGACGGAAGGAAACTCCATCGATTTTGCACCATCTCTAGACTTTCTCAAGTGGAGTTGTATCGTTTGTGTAAAAAAAAAAAGAGCGAACAAGTTTAGAGGCAGCGACAACGTTTGCGTTGTCTTGTCACTCGAGTGTTCTACACCCTTCCCAAAACTATTTAGACAAAAATCTCAATTAATTTATTTGATATAAATTAGCAGAATATAAACAGCCATTGGCGATAAATGGCTTACAGCGTTAAAATGTTCAAAAAACATTAGATAAAATTTTCTATTGCTAAGTAACGCGCGATGGACAACAGCAGCAGCAGCAACAATCAAGATAAAAAGCCGCCTGGGTCCAATCACACACATCATACAACATCAGCCACTTTAACAACGGCTTTACCAGCAAATCAACAAATAGCTAATGCAGCTGGTTCCGTTGGTGCTAGTAGTGGTAACGCAGAACAGCTGCATCTGCCACCACCTTCGCCGCAATTAGCCCAACATACATCAGGTGCCAATGGCGGCATTAGTGGCTCTGGCGGCTTACCTACAAATACTAGTAATGCTTCCATTTTGTCTGTGCAAGGTTCAATAACTCTACAATCGTTAGGGGGGAACGTTGGGAACCTTACCAATAATAATACTACTAATAATTATTATAATAGTTCTTCTACGCTCCCAACACATTTACAAGCTCCCGGCCCCAGTGCCAGCGATTTCGATTCAGACACAGAGCTCTCCATAGTAGCAGCTTCTGCGCAAGCAGCAGCTGCGGCTGCGGCTGCTGCTCTTGCCAGCACTAATGGATATTCGTCCAATAGCAATAATAGCAACGGCAATGGTAATCAAAGTTTGAATGCTAAACAGCAACGTCAGCAAAAACGACGTCGTGAAAGGGCACAACGTTTGCAGGCTGAACGTGACAACCGTAGTGCAACGATTACAAGTGCTAGCGGTATTGGTGCCAATTCCCTAACTAATGCGGGTCATCTTTATCATGCGAGTAGTGCTAATAGTTTGGGCGAAGACAGCAACAATTCCAATGGAAATTATACGACAAGCAGTAGTAGCAGTAGCAACAACAACAATGTTCTTTTACCACCCACAGATAGCATTGCGTCGCTTCTACTGAATCCGCCGCACTCACCGGAATGTCATGGAGGTCTTATGGGCACGCCAAGCGATAGCGAAGGTGAATCACTTGACGAAGATCTCCTGTCAACATCATCATCATCAACGTTATTACTGCCTCGTGATAAAGCACCGCCCAGGCCTCCACCACCTGTGCGGCGTAAGTTACCACGTTCTCCTGTTTTAGAGGAGGAGATTATTGATGGCTTTGCAATCTTGGAATTCAAAACCTACGAGGATTTAGAGGTGAGTTAGAATACCAAATACAGCAGTAAATTAATAATATTCGTAGCGTGTTAAAGACTGACAGCAATAAGCTAAGAAGTCGATGTTTACTATTTTTATATATGGTACTCCTTCTTAAACGTGACGACACACAGAAACGCTAATCACGTTATGGCAGGTTTTCAAAGTTCGCCATATGGCGTTAAAATTTGCAAAAATACCGCCTTTTGTTAATTGTGGCGTGTCTGGCCGGTATACCTTTCAAGGCGAATGTTCGAATGAATCGAGCTACTGACAAAATATAACTAAAATTTGTATAATAATTTAAGAACATTTTCCATCAATTCTTTTCTAATGCGATCCGTAGTATGCTATAAAAATGGGCCAACAACGCAAAGAGAAACGTTTATCTGCCTTAGAAGAATTGACGTGCACCTATAGCATTGAAGAAATTAAAATGCCAAAGATCATCGATACTGGGCAGCCGCATCCGATACGGGGTATTGGAGCGGGTGGTGGCATCGGTGGAGGAGGTGGCATTGGTTTGGGTTCATTAACGCTCAATCACAATAATAATCACAAGGATAATAACAGTATTCGTATGCAAACGATAAATTCAACAATGGTTAGCAATAATAGTAGTAATAATAATAACAACAATAGCAACAGTGGTAATAATAATAATAACAACAATCAGAATTCGAGCATTAACATTGGTGGCAGTACAAACCTCCTTAATATGACATCTACCGTTGATTCCGTAGTAAATGCGGCTCTAACATCGCTGACAACGTCAGCAACAACGACTGTGACTATGACTACTATGGATCATCATTCCATCACCAATATGACCACATCACCATGGAAAGGTTCTAATAATAGCAGTACAATAACCAATCATAATGGTAATAGTAGCAGTGATGTTAAAAGTGTCGTTTCAGCAGATAACTGTAACGATACCAGTATGATGATGATTATGGACGGCTGTGATGGCAATAATAGTACTAGCCTGAGCAGCTTGTCCGTGGCGTCGGCCATTACGAATGTAACAAATAGTTCAAGTAGTGCAATGCCCTTGGCTGTTGTAACCACAAATACTGCTTCTTTAACGAGCACGAACATCTCCAGTAAAACAACGGCAACAAATCCGATCATCATTACAGCATCGACGCCCACTGCAGTACACAAGTCAATGTTAACAGCAACGGCCGCGACTCCGGTAGCAGCAAATTCGCTAAGTTTAGAAGCAACACATCTAACAACGACCACAACAACAACAACACCAACAAATCATATCGATAAACTTGTAAATAATTTGGCAACGTCAACAACGCCAACGATGTCGTTGCATCAGCAACATCAACACCAACATCAACATCAACAGCAGCAACAACTCGTCACAAATGATTCGAATAAAATAACGGCGATCTCAACAACACATAACGCCGGCAATAATCACGGTTTAACTATGGTAACTGCTCCCCCGACCAATATGAAGAATATAAATTCTATGATTGGCATACCTGGAGGGGGTTTTAACGTAAGTGATTTGCTATATTTGTCTTTTTAATTTTAATTTCTCATGCGATTCTTTCTTATTTCTTTCTATTATTTATGCAGAAATCAAACGCACATGTAATGGATCAAAAAATGCACAACAGTCAGAATAGCAATAATGATATTTTAGCTAATATAATAACAACAACAACAACAACAACAACAACAACAACAATCCTACCAACAATTTCAGTACCAACAACAACGGCCACATTAATAACACCATCATCTTCATTATCTTCAACGGCATCGTCATCGTCGTTATCATCATCACCCTTATCGACATCATCATTATCAGCGGCTGCATCATCGTCATCTTCTACATCGTTATCGTCTTTAGTGAGTCAAAAAGATTTACATTCAACGGTTTTTCTGAATAGTGGACCTGTGGCTAATCAGACAAAAGTGCATTCCCAACAGCATCATCATCACCACCATCAACAGCAGCAGCACCATCAAATTCAGCAACAGCAGCATCATCATCAACATCAACACCATCATCATCACCATATACCACATCATCAGCATCAGCATCAGCATCATGCCAAAGATGCCCTTAGTGTTTCCAGTGAGCAACAGATCAAAGATCGTTTAAATGATGTAAGTGTTGTTCGTCTTCTTCTTTTTTTTTTTTTTTACGTCGGTTATCGACAGGCTAAACCATTTAGAAAAAATTGAATTAAAATCAAGTAAGACGGTCATCTATGCCTTGAATTAAATGAAATTAAATTTATTAAAATAGCAGTTTTGTAAAAATTTTAGACAATCAAAGTAACTTTGGGATTGAATTTTCTCATGAATGAAAGATGAATGAAGGAAAACAAAAAAAATTCTGATAGCATCACTGTACTGCAGCTTCCGCTCGTGAATATAAAAATATGTTGGAAAATACTCAAAATCTTCTTTTAAAGCGCCTTCCATTACAAGCTTATTAACGGACCAATCGGACGCACGGTTTGGTTTTTCAAATTTTGTTCTAGAATTTTTAAGTTCATCTTTTTATTATGCGATATGATATCATAGGTTTTCCAATGCGTTTTTCCACAAACTATAGTCGCTACGACATAACTACTATATCTCCAGTCTTCGCGAAGACGGTTATAAAAGTAGAAATCTATAGGGAATTTCTTGACATAAATTTGCACAACAAAATTCGATCGTTTTCTTCACGAAAATAGATAATAGAATTTCGAAGCAGTAGAGTTTTTTTTTAGTAGCATCGGTCACTTTTGATGGATTAATAAAAAGCTATGTCCGCAATGTTTACTTGATTGGGACTTAATTTTTTTATTTCTTTGTTTAGAATTTCCGTACTCTTTAACATATTCCTAGACCGAATTGTTGAGAGATAAATTCCTCATTTTTACAGCCAGGCTTATGGCTCCCACAACTTACCTATGGTCCAAATGAGTGCATTGAAATTTTATAACGTGAATTCTTCAATCAAGAATTCGAAGGCTAAAATTTGATAATGAACGCTATCCTATCGGCGAAATAACCACAATAATATTCTAATTGAAGTTTACTTAGACTTTAGAAACAAAGGTCCGATATATTGATTGCCCATAGTAACCTGAAAGTGATTTAAACATTTATTTAGGATAAAAGTTTCGAATGTTTCAAGCGAATTTATTTTACGATATAAAAAACCTTTGAGTTCTTTATATTCCCATCGTAATAAGTATATTACGTTTTTTAAATATTTACCATAACTAAAAATATGCAACAAAGATCCGTTTCTTAACGATTATATATATTCCTAAACGGTATAAAAAAATACCTGAATCGACTGATTTATGTTCGCCTGTTTGTCTGATTATTCAACTCACACTTATGATCTTAAAAGCTTATATATATAAAAAGTTGAGTTTGTTTTAAAATTTTATTTATTTTTGTTCAACTTTCTTTTCCAGCTTTGAACATTTTGCACTTAAAGATTTAGTTTCAAAATTAGCTAAATAGTGTTAAGGTCTTACAGGCTTATCAAGGAACTGATAAACTTTTTTTTGTTTTTTTTTTTTGATTTCGATTTCAAAACTTTATTCAAGTGTACTTAAATATTTATTCAATGAAAACTTTTAGCTAATGTTCGACAAGCAATTAAATGGGTCATGTTTACATATGGACATGATGAAATTACCTTTAAGTTGCTGTCATCTAAATTTTAATAGAAATGATTGCAATTGTTTTATACAAGATTTTAGATTTACTATGAAAATATGATTGTCGTCTATCTGATTAGTGACATGCGATCTCTCTCTCTCTCTCTCTCTCTCTCTCTCTCTCTCGCTCTGGGTTTAAACTTTCTTTATTCAAAGTCTCGCAAATAATATATGAATCATGAATACTTAAAAAGGATATTGTTGCATTCGATGTAGTGTTCAAGCCTTTTCAACACAAGCCTGGCCTGGCCTGGCCTGGCCGTATCAAAAAGTTTAAGGAACTTTAATAAAAATTGCATCAATTCTTAGAGAAAAACTACTCCAGATGAATTAAATCACATTATTTGAAAGCAAGTATTAGAGTACAAATAATTTAGGACTTAGATCGACACGACATCGTCTCCTATTTCATTCTTTAATTCTCTCAAATAATTTCTTTAGTTAAATTCTCCTATGTATTCTACTATTGATGAATTTGAGCAGAAAAGGCAAGTTTTAGATACAATGACGAGTAATAAATATATGAAAATTAGCAACATATATATTGGCTAATATTTTAATATACATCGGGAGCACTATATATGTAGTTCGTGAAGTGTTAAAGCGTTTATTAAATTTTAGTTTCTTTTTTGTCACATTAGGTATAACGGACGGACCTTCTAAAAAAACAATTGCCTTGACTTTTACGTCCACTAGGCGAAGGAGAATGGTACACTTGTAAATTCTTTGTACTACTTTGTACTACATCCGGAAATAGAGGCCTCAGGACATTAAATACTTAATTAACCGATTAAACTTATTCTATGATATTTATCCTGTCCGTCTAATGCTCAAACTTTCACGTTTGAAATTTGAATTATATTTTGCTATTTTATGGATACAAATCGCTTTTGAAAATGATCGCAAGAGCGGCGAAAATTTTCATTTAGTTAATTTACAAAAAATATTGATCCGAAAATTAAAAAAAAATGTTAGTAAATATTCGGATAATCTAAAATTCCATTGCGATTAGAATCGTTATCGTTATTAAATTAATTAATATTCTTGTTATATATAAGGCAGACTTGATAGCTTCTCATTTTCTTACGAATTTTCAAAATACTCTAATTTTAATACAGTTATAATATAATGGGTTGAAAGGTAAAAATATTTTTTGGTTTTTTGACCAATCAATCATTGGACGTCATTTGAAATTCTCATATCCAGAATATCAAGAGCTGCAGACCATTTTGCATTGTTCTCGTCAAGGCCATCAAAGGAGTTCTTCATCATCAGTTCTTCTTACGAGCGGTAAGAGACGGCGTTCCGTTTTGCAGGCGCTGGAGTTTACCCTATTTGCCCGACTTAGGACATTTGCACATTGTAATGAGCCACCAGCGTGTCATGCAGCGTTTATTTCGCCAAATGTGCTATTAGGCAGGAACGAGTTACATAAGATGCTGCCATTAAATCAGCTTGGTAGAGATAGCTAGATTACAAATTTTATTTTTTATCGAATTCGAAGCATAGCTCAGTTCATTTTGTTGTGGGGCAGGGCGTTAAACCAACAAGCTTATTAGATTCTAGATATCCCATTATCTGGTAAATGTTCACGTCCCATGCCTACTTCACGGTCAGATTGAGCGAGCTGAGTAATTGCCTTAATGAGTTTGAGTTTCTTAAATACAACGGTCGAGGTACCATCTGGCTTCAGTATTTTGCGGATATTTAATAACTTGGCAACATTTCTAGGATAGGCATCGAGCATCCCATTGTCTCGACCGAGAATAATGGTTGATTGCCACGCGGCAAGGAAATATTTCAGGCAACACATTAATTTTGTCAATCGGGTCAGATATTATTTATTGGATCGATACGATCAAATGATTTAAAATTCCCTTCAAGAACAATCAAGAAGTTTTTGCATTATTTTGGTATAGCAAGAATTTTGGTTACGTGCCTTTCGCTTTCGTAAAGATGGCTTTCGCACGGAGTACCTGGTTGTGTCTATAATCAGATCATTTGTTAAGCAGATTGTTCCGATTGTTTGTGATTAAGATAAGATGCCAAGCTTGCCAGCTTGTTCTTTAAAACAAGCATATATTCCCTTTTTCTTCATTCAAATCATGCACCGGTTATTATTGTCGTGATCTAAATCAACGACCTAAAACGATGCGCAATTTAACGAATTACAATCAATACGCGTTTTTAACGCGTTTTACCGTTGCATTGATCTACTAATATTAGTTAAAAGAAGTCAGTTTTAAGTCAAACCTGCCTTTGGCATAACAATAACGGGAAAAATTGGAATCGAGCGAGAGGCTTTAATTAATTCATGTTCGTGGAAGGAAATGTCGGCATTAAAATTGAAAGATTGGCAAAGTCTGGTGAGCAAAAAAAAAAAAAAAAAAGAAAAGCTAATTATGGGATAATTTTTTTTGAATAGTCAGTTAACTGTCGATGAAACTTGGGTCTCTTAAGAACCAACACAGATATGAGATTCAGCTTCCAAAGGGCTTATTATCCGTAATCAAACGCGGCCAAGGGGAAGATTCAACCGATCAATCCAGTTTTAAAGAAGTGAAATTATGATGAACTCAACCTGCATTATGAAAAGAAAGTTATAAGTCATTTAACATGTCTTATAATCAGCAGCATGTATATTAAACTCTAGAGAACTACTCCAGAGAATCGTTATCGCCGCTTGGCCGAGACTTGATTAGTGTTATCTTTACATTTTCAAATATAGATTCGTTTTACTTATGGCTCACTGCCCTCTGCCCAACGGCTATTGATAGATGATAGATGAACTAAACTGGAGTTACTAATACTGATTGCAATCATTCTCCCAACGAAGCCATAAAGCCATTCTAGCCATTTTCGCACATTAATTTAATATAATTTAATGTAATAGATATTGAAAGAGTCCAACAAATTACCCAAAGAAACAAAAAAGAAAAGTATTTTGCAATTATCTTGATTGGAAGGGAATAGTCGTACATAAGTTGAATTTCTTTATAAATGATTGACAAATGATTCGTTACTGCAATGAATTTTCACAATTTTAAATAAGAGACAGAAAATTTTTATTAATTATATACATTCGGAATTTTCAGCACATGCTTGCCATTAACTAATAATAATTTTCAATAAATATTAAAAATACTTATGTATGAATGAATTTTGAATGCAAAATATTTTGCATAAAAACCTCTTTTCGCAATTTAAAATAATTCGTAGTTCCTTCTCCTAGTTTAGTCTTTAGATCTTCGCTCCGAGAAATTATTCAAATCATTTATGATGAACGTTCCCAGGGAACCAAAGGGTTATCATTCAAATGATCCAAGTCTTGTCTAATCACACCAGACTTTAATTACCATATAAGTGCTCTATGGAGCAGTTAGAGAAACCTAGTATCTAGTATTACGTTACATTTGTTGTCGGTCTTTCTTTTTCATCCATCCTATAGCGGATCATGTGTTTTTCGCTTGATAGACTTTTTCTATTGCCAGTAAGCCATCGGCTTTAAAAATGCCCCGTTTCGATTTATGCCACTGTATGCTTGATCCCCTAAATAGTCAAAAATTACATGGAGAGACAATTCGAGGCGTGGCAAAATTTTAAATAGTCAAAAGAATTTAACATAACTTAAACATAATTGCATGGCGCAGTATAGGGGTATAAAAATTTTGGAGTGCGATTATTAAAAAAACTCAAACACTTTCTTTGTTCCTTTCATGCGAATTTCCGATAATATCTTCAAAATAGCAAGTACATTCTGTCGCGAATGGGTTATAATGCAACAGTTTTTCATTCATAAAAGAATCGCCAATCATAACGATATATATATGATATATATGTGTGAAAAATGCTATTGCATCCTATATTTTTAGGCAATGCAGTATTTGTAGGTTTCATATTTATTCTTTTTAAATCAAGTTTAGACCAAGTTGCACCAAGCACTGCATGCTGTAGGGTCGCTTAAACTGATTGACTGACTGCTTCACGAGAATGATTCCGGTCTTAGAAGGAAATAATCCTTATTATCGATAAATATTACTATTTTATGCTATCTTTTCTTAGATCCGAAAAAAAAAAAAAAATTACAAAAAACTTCTTTATCTAAGGCTGAGCCTTGGACTTCCTTACGCTTCACAATTACGATATTAGCAGTTGAAACAATAAACATCCGGCGCATATATATAACTATATCGATCAAGAAGCTCCTTATGATCGTGATGGCACACCTCTTAATAATTTCGCTGCGTGAAACTTTTTTTTTATTTTATCTTCTTCTTATTTATTTTGTAATGGATAATGGATATGATTTTTTTTTTTATATTTCTCAATTGTTAGTTACTTATTATTTTTTTTCCTTAAAACATTAAATATGTAAAGAATTACTTTATAACATTATTCCGTATTATACCGTAAAAATAGAAAAATAACTCTTCTACTACTCGGGCTAACTATTAACCACAGTTTTAGATACCACTTATGGCGAGTAACTTGTCACACATAATCTATCATATATGAGTATTTCAGTGCCACATGAACATTTTTTTATTTCCTTTTATGGTAACGTTAAGCCAAGAGATGATTTAAACTATAAATCTAATCATTCTCTACAACGTTGACAACTAGCTATACCGGCAGATAATTTTGCAATATTAAATCCAAACGTACTCACTGGAATGCTTCGAATATTTCTTAAGTAATTAGAGCTGAATTTATTATATTTATCTATAAAAAATAAAAAATAAAAATAATAATAATAATAATAGTAATGATACTAAAAAAAAAATATATGTGATTAATATTGTTAAACAAGTATGTGTTGTTAAAACAAAAAAAAAAAAAA